TCTGCGAAGGGAGGCGTTAGGACTCGCCAGCGCACTGCCAGCGCAGTTCCAACGCAATGCCAACACAATGTTAAACCAATGCCAATAGGGGGCATCCTCCCCAGGTGTATTTCAATGAGAATCCTTTTGGGCCGATGACATTGCGAACCCATGTTCGGAGGATTTCATTAGGAATCCCAATGTGAAGGGTTTCAAATGTATTCCTTCTATGGAGGTCTTCAATGTGAATCCTTCTTGTGTGTGTGGGGGGTCACTAGGCATCCTTCTTGTCGGGGTGGATAAATAAGAATTTTCTTGTGGAGCGTCCGACTGAGGCTCGCCAGCGCAATGCCAACGCAGTGCCATCACAACGCAAAACCAATGCCATGGCGATCCCGCTCCTGTGCCAATGCGATGCCAATTGGGGAGATCCTTTGTGGTAGGTTCCAATCGGAGTCCTTCAGTGGAGGGCTTCGCACGGAATCCTTCTGCGGAGGATTTCAATCTGAACCATTTTTGTGGAGGGTTTCAATAGGAGTCTTTCTTGTAGGGGGTTTCAATGGGAGTGCTTCTGTGGAGGGTTCCATCAGGATTCGCCAACGCAATGCTTGCGAAATGCCAGCGCAATGCCAACGCACGGCAAAGCACAATTCCAGAGCAATGCCAAACCATTGCCAAACCAATGCCAATGCAATGCCACCGGGGGCGTTCTTTCGAAGCATCTCAATAGCAATCCTTCTGCAGGTGGTTCCAATAGGAACTAACATGTGGAGGATTTCAATAGCAATCCTTCTTTCGATGGTTTCGATAGGAATGCTCCTGTGGAGGATTTCACTATGAACCCTTACTGTTTTGGCTTTCAATCGGAATCCTTCCAGAGGTGAGGGCCAATGAGGCCACGTCGGATTTTTGTTTTTTTCGCCGCCGCCCCCCCACCCCCTACAGAAAAACACAACGACTTCGCGTGTTTTTTTTTTTTTGGGGGGGGGGGGACGAAGGAAAACAAATCCGGGGCCTCCCTCTCCTCCTCTGCCTCCTCCTCCTCCTTCTTTCTCCTGCTCCTCCTCCTCCTTCTACTAGAATCGAGTTGTTTCTTCTCCTGCCCCCCCCCCAAAAAAAAAACCCAATAAAAACGGGAGGCAACGAACCGTTTTGTTTTTTTGGGGAGGGGGGCAGGACAAGAAAACAGCTCGATTCTGGGGGAAGGAGGAAGAGGAGGAGGACGAGGAGGAGGAGGAGGAGAAGGAGGAAGAGGAGGAGGAGGAGGAGGAAGAATAATGATAATAAGCAGGATAGTAAGAATACTCATAAGGATAATAACAACAAGAAGCAGACTATTAAGAATACGCAGAAGGATAATAAGAAGAAAAAGGGTAAGAAGAAGAAGAAAAAGAGGAGGAGGAGGAGGAGGAGAGAGCAGGATGAAGAGGAGGAGTAGGACAATATATAGAAATAGGAAGAGGGGGAGGAGGCGAAGGAGGAGAAGGAACAAGAGGAATAATGTTCGAAAACTCCACGACAAGAACTAGATGAAACCACTCTTCGAAACGAGATGTACTCCACCACCCCCCTGCTCTCGAGGAGTAGGACGAGCAGTGGGGGAGGAGACAGACGAGAGAGGAATACGAGGAAGAAGCAGAGAAGCAGAGACAGGTATGCTCACAAGGGGTTGCGACCACACACACATATACATATGTATGTCTATATGTGTATATACATATGTGCATGTATGTGTATATCTACATATATACAGGTGTATACATATGTATCATGAAGAAAAAAGCCCCCCTCCCCGGCCCCGGGTCCCACGCCTCCCCGTGACATCTCGGGGACGCTCCCGGTACCGCTCCCCCGGCCTTTCTGGGGAGCCTCCACAGCGCTCCAGGAGGGCCATGACGCTTGCCACGAGCCCCCAGAATGCGAAAGGATGGCACAAGTCGCTCCCAAGCAGCCCAAGTCAGCCTTCCGCCGGCTCTCGAGGCTCCCAGGTGGTCTCCAAGAGACCCCAAGAGAGGTCCGAGAGGCGTCCCAGGACGGCCCGAAGAGGGCCACATCGTTGATTTTCATTGTTTTTTCTATGTTTTGGCTTCTCGCGTTTTCGAGCTTCCAACGGTCCAAGAGCTCCGAAGAGGCTCCCAAGACCGCCCCAAGACCACCCAAGAGACCCTCAGGACTGCCGGGGAGCTCCCAAAACGCTCCAGCGCGCCCCACGGCAGCCCCAAGAACCCCTCAGAATGCAAAAGAACAGCTGGAGATGCTCTCAAGCAGTCCAAAACAGTCTGTGGACGGCTCTCCAGGCTCCCAGGAGGCCTCCAGACGCCTCCAAGACACTGCAAGAGAACTCCGAGAGACGTCCCGAGAGAGCTGGGAGAGCAACACAAATCATTGAGTTTCGTTTATTTCCGAAGTTTTCGATGTTTTAGATGTGTCATGCTTCCAACGCTCAGAGACGAGTGAGGAGACTCCCAAGACCGCCCCAAGACCGCCCAGAAGCCTCCCAAGACAAGCTCAAGGCGGGCCCAGGACGGGCCCTGACATCTGGCCGGTACCGCGCCTCCCGGCTTC